GCTCACAGCCGAAGGTGAATTAGCACCGGTGGGTCCCTGTGATTCTCCTGCCCTGGCCCAACTGTTGTCCCCCTAGAAGCCAACAAACCAGAGCATTTTTACAGGGCCTGAAATACCCTGAGAACAGTCTTTCTCACGGCATCTCATTTCTACTTTATTCGGTCTTGGGGAAGGAAAGAAATTATGAGGGGAAAGAGCTAAAGGAACCGTTTTCTTTCAAACATTAAAAAAAGCACATCGTCCTGTTAGCGCTGGAAGTAACGAAGCCTGGTTTCCAATGGATTCGTGCCTCATGGTTGATGGACTTTTAAACCGAATTGTACTGGGGCTGCGGCAGGCTTCCGCCCCTTCTTAGACACCAGAAAAGCCATGTGGGGAAAAAAAGCATGATGAATACCTCACCCAGAGCAATTCCTGCCTGATCAGCTACCCCAGAGTCCCCTTCTTAAGCATTTTCTCCTGTGCGGACTCGCTGGTGTCTCCTGGGCATGAATGCTACCAAGGCTTTTCCATGGCTTGGGAATTTTTGTCCCATCTCTTCCTGGATTCGTAGTTTTCTGATTGTGGCCGAACTCGGAGAAGGCATAAATGGAGGGTTTCTCTCTCTCTCACACACGCACATCTCTTATCACAACACTTTTAGGAACATGATGCCTTTGGGACTTCTACCTGCTGTCCGTTTGGTTGAAATGGGCACCCGAATTCAGTGATTACCGGGGGTTGGGGCTGTGAGGGAAACATGCACTCATACATGGGCTGTCACCACAGAAATCTCATTTCCTCACAAAATCAGAGTTCAAGTAAAAGCTTGTTTCTTATTTAGACGGAGGTAGAGAGCCACTAAGGCAGGCCCCGAGTTAACCCATTTTCCTTGCTCTGCTACCATTTTTCTCCTCCTGCAGAGAGGCGTGTTTTTTTTCTCAACCCCTCCTCTTGGATCCTGGTTTTTGGAGAGCAAGGATGGTTTCCTCCCATCTCAGCAACATCAGGATACAAACAGGGCCCGTCATTCATTCATGCACACGTTATAATCACTTAAGTCCTGTTTCCTTATGAAACCTGAGCAGAGCTGATTCCATACAGCAGACGATGCTTCGTCAGCCCATTGCAATGCACTAGGAGGCACTTCAAAGATTAAAGCTGGGGGGGACCCGCCTTCATGTCACCATGGAAAGTTTGCCCATTAACAGAGGCAATGAATCTGCAGAGACGCCGAAGGTAGCTAGGAAAGACCACAACTCTTTTCCCAGAAGCTCGGTTATAAGAATCTCTCTTACAGTTCCAGCACTGAACAGCCTTTTTTGGGCCAAACAAGCACAAGAGCCATGACATGAGTCAGCTCCAAGTGCCTGGAAAGACCTGCGGCACCTTGGTTGGGCTCAGCAGACTGATGGATTAGCACTTGTCCATGTGGAATCGTAGGTTTCAATCCTCAGAGCCTTTTCCAGTCAATTGATCTATCCCAAGTCTTTCGTCGGGTACAAATGGGCCTTTGACTTTCAACAGAATGAAGCAGCAGTAAATATAAATGGGACGTGAAAATTTTTTTGAACGGACATTTTAATGGTCTGTTCGCTCTACAGCTCTGCTGTTGCGGTCAAAAAGAAATTCCCTTTCTACTTCAGGAGCTGGTGGATAGAAACCCATTCCTCCTGCCCTCGGCTGTTCATTCCCAGGGAGCAGAAAGTCTTCTGCATCTTCAGCTAGTGCCCCAACATGGTCCAGCCTGCTCCTTGCCCGGCCTCCTGGAAGCAGCGATGTGGGTCCAGCCTGGGACCCTTCCACGCCTCTTCCAGGGGCACGGCAGGGCTCTGTGGGGAAATGATGGGCACGGTCCCAACAGCCAGTAGCAGCTTTACTGACGCGTGGCATGGCATATTCCTTCCTTAACGTTTCACCTTCCAGACTGCAGCTAATTATTGTCTATATTCCACTCCTTCATTCTGAGGTTATCCCCAAATATACCCTCATCTTCTTTATTCCCAAACCTTGCACAACCCCGTGCTGTGCCAAGCCCCACCAAACAGCAGTACAGAGTTCCCGCTTCCTTCACACAGAAAGGGGCAGAGGCGAGCGCACGGCAAAGCAGGCTGTGCTGTGGGGCGACGGGAAAGCTGTTGCTCCCGTGCTGAAACACGAGCAGAAGAATCTGTTCGCATTTCCAGGCGCGTTTTCAGACATTTCTAGCACCTTATGGACCAGCTCTCGTTGGCCATTGAAATGGACCGAATGCCAGCCTAATCCCTGGTCCTCTCACTGTGACTGTGGGAGTTCACTGGAAGGTCTTTCTCTTTTTTATTTACTTCACACAGCTTGTGGCTCAGGACGGGGCGTTATGTTTGACTCACGGGCTCAAGGAGCAGGAGAGCCATCTCTTCACCCCAAATGCAGAAGACACTGACCTACAAGATGAAGACCACGAAGCAGGAGCCTTACGATGTCAATCCCGGGCCTTGAGCTTTGCTAGGTCTGGGTACGAAACCTGACATGACAGAGCAGACTGAGCTCAGGCGATGTGAAACTTAACCAACATATTTTACACCCACACCACTAAAAATAGGACGCCGACGCCAACTCTTCATCTGGAAAGAGAGGAAACACCAGTGTTGCTGTGTTTTGGATGAGGCGCAGCACTGAAGTCCTGACCATATTTAGCCATAAGATCATCTCGTAGGACTTCTGCATGAGAGTGGAGTTTTAGAAAAATTATTCTGGCCAAGTGCCAGTTCTGCCTTTATTATTTCTCCCTGCTATCGCAATACTTCATTTCATCACCGAAATTGCTGTGTTGAGTTACTCGAGGCTGCTAAAACGCTGTCATGCTACAGAGGCAACTATATGGAGGAAATGATGTCTCTACTGAAAGTGCTCCATACAGCCGAAATCAGGCCACCTATTTAGGTGTCGGGTTTAGATTTTTCATTGTAAGCACAGCAACTTGGAACATTTTGCCAAGATGTGTTGAAAGCTATGAAGACATTAAAGATTATTCATGGAATAAATATTCATTTGCAGGAAGACTTTTTTTTTTTTTAGCGCGTGAGTATTTCAGGCAGCGCGTTGCAATGTGTGCAGCCGCTTACAGAAAAAGGTGATCGTATTCTGAGTGCTGTTTCAATAGTTCCTAATATTAACGATACCAGGAATGTACTTCATTTTTATGATTTAATGGCAGTTTCTGCTTAAGTTAAAAATATTTGCTAGATTTTCCTTAGCTATTAACTAATTAGTAGTCATGAAAAATTCCCTGAGAATTAGTCTTCAAATGCTTCCCTACCAGGTGCTGTAATACTGTCACTTTGCTGATAATTTTTAACCACAAATACTACGTTGCACTTGTTGCCCTGAACACCAGAAAAATGTCCTTATTTTATTGGCAACTCCCTTGTCCGCTTTTTCCCATAGAAAAAGCGATTACTTTGCCAACACCATATTAATATATTGCAGCTTTACATCGTCGGCTTTCCATGTTTCAGAATTTCCATTTCCGAGGCACTTTCTGGCCGGACGGGTCCCGTCGGAGCCCGTGTGGAGCTCTGGTACCATCTAGTGTTACCGGGCAAATCCTCAACTGCTGGATGCGGCCTTTTCCTCGCTGATCTCCTGCCGGGTTTGCGGTAGGAAAAAGCCTGTCGTGACAGAACTCGTGGCGATTAGGGATGACCGCGTGCAGTAAAGCCATTTTCTCCGCCAGCAGCTGCTGTTCTGGCCCCGGCGGCTTGGGACAAGCGCGTCCCAGCCTGACTGGGGTGGAAGCGACTCCCCCAGCTGCGGGGAGGCGTCTGGGGCCACGTAGCCGGAGGGGTGTGCGGGTTGCCGCCCGTGGGGCCTGGGGCACCGAGAGGCCCCCCCCCA